AAATTAACGTCGTAATTAAAATATCAAGTATAATTATAATATATATATTTTTATAATCATATAATGAATGAGAAGAAGAAATGGCAGCTAGATATTTTGCATTTTATTTATTGAACTCTTTAATAAAAAAGATTGATTTAATTTTTTAAAAAAATATTAAAATTAATTTAAATAAAAATAAATAATACAAAAAATCAAATCATACGTCAGTTCCCAAACTTTCTTTTTAGGTACATTTTTTTATAATTTTATTATAATGTTTTAATCTAATATATGTTGTAGGAGTGTGAAAGTTTAATCATTATATATTACAAAACTAGCTTATGATTTTTCCTACAAGTGAATATTCCCTTTCTAATTCTCTTTTTAAATTGTTCTTTTATACCCTGAGTCAAACTATATAAAACAACCAAAAAATCCCACACAAATGGCAGAGGAAATTACTGAATCAGATTCGGGATCATATCAGTATTAAAGAACAGAGTAATGAGTCACAGATCTTTGCCCGAGAAGATGATATAACTGGCATTTGATAAGTGTATTCAAGTACAAGAAACCGATAATACATTTAAAAAAAGGATCACCCAGAATTTAATAAGCCTTATGGTGGATAAACTAAAACATATATTTCCACTTAATAAAATTATTGGCTTTCTGGGTAGAACCTATATATATATATAGAAAAGTACTGTAAAGAAAAGAAGAAGGTAGAAACTGGATTTTCAGCCAGTGTTTTGCATGCCAGCAGCTATACCCTTCATGGTCAGGATTAAGGTGTCTTCCAGTCCTGGTGCATATTCACTTGACAGGTTCAGCTTCACCAGTTCATCACCTGGTTTGCTTGATTCCGTTATCTCCTTTGATATATGTGGCCTCACCGTCACGTGGTAGTTTGGATCTCGGATACGTTTCAACGTGTAGGCTTGGCAAACATTAAGTGTTGTGATGTAAGAGTCTCGGAGTCGGAGTCTCTGCTTCAAGTAGGGATCTCCTTCGAGAAGATCCTTGTGACCGGCAATCTGCAAAAGAGAAGACATGAATATATCCTTCTAACCTATCAAGACAATATGCATGAAGACTAAAATATTTACCTGAAGAAGAAGGCTCTTGGTTTCTTCATAGTTAGCCCTCAACTTTTCTCCAAATGACCAGAGATCGTCCGAAACAAGAAGTTTATCGTACAAGGCGGCAATTCCTGGGTCACCCTTAGCAAACACCATTTCAACTAAATCAATAGTGACCCTGAAGAAAGGCCAGTTGTTGTACATCTCCTGCAACACAAGTAGATTTCTGACATCCTTCTTTAAAATATGTCTGAATGCTGCTCCAAAGCCAAGCCAAACCGGAAGATGGAATCTTGTTTGTGTCCATGCAAAGATCCATGGGATTGCACGAAGAGATTCGATACCACCACTTGGCTTTCGCTTTGATGGGCGGCTTCCAATGTTCATCCGACCATACTCCAACTCCGGTGTTGCCTAAAATAAGCAGCAGAAAAGGATTATTTTCCTGAAAATGTGTTTCCTTATTCATTTGGCATCAAGGAAGAAATTAGCAGATTTCGTTTACTTACGAGACGGAAATATTCGACAAATCGGGGTTCTTGGAAAACAATAGAGCGATATTCCTCTGTTGCAA